ACCGGCCGGATGTGAGCGACCGCAAGGCTCGGCCTGCTGGGGTCAGTGGGTACTCTGGGGGCGTGGGGAAATGGCAGGCGGGAGACCCCAGCCGAGAGCGGTACTCCAGAGAAAGTCTGCGAATCCTGGCACAGTCCAGCGGCTGGTCAATCCTCCAGGTTCGCTGCTCCTGAGCGCCAAATTCTGACATTGTCGCGTAACAATGGGGGGTTGCGCGGGAGGGGTGCGGCTGGGCACAAGCCGCGGAGTCTGGCTCACAGTGGCTAGGGGGTTTCTAGGGGGCCCCGCAAACTTCCAGAAGGCCAGAGTGATGGCCAACCGCACATGCTCTTTTGTCTCCCTCTCACACACATTTCAGACAGGAGCCACATGCACAAATGAGCAGACAGGCTTAGAGAAGAGAATAACGCATTTTGCGCCTTCAGTCAACACCAAGATGCCAGAGAACAAGTACTGTACAAAGAGTCCTATAGCCTCTCTCTGATAAGACAGGACAGAGAGATAAGCTCAGAGGGGATAAGAGCAGCAGAGGGGGGAAAAAAGAAACCAAGAAAAGAAATAGGGAAACTCAGGATGTAGCCAGGAAGGCATGAGGAACACATAGGAAAACTTGGCTTGAAACCCTGGCTTTGTCACAACTGGCTGTGAGACCCTAGACAAGTCATTTAGGCCTTAGTTTCTCCTGATCTTCAAGGTTCCCTCCATCCCTAACCTTGTGTGGCTTCTATCCTAAGACCAGAGTTCATGGTACCAACTCAACTAAAGTACAGATGACTAGTGCAGATCCTGTGGGTGGTGGCTTGCACAGGGGGTAAAGTCTGCAGCAGTAGTGGAAGGACAGGGATGGCTGGAAGGCTGTCTTCTTAGGGTCAGGCTTGAGCTAGATTTTGAAGATACTGAAGTCAGGGGACTGGCCAAGAGGCTGCAGAGATGGCCATGCCAGGCAATAGGGGAGAAAAGCTGGGGCTCTTGGTGACTTGCTGAGGGGATTTCCTTTTACCCCTCAGTTTCCCCTATCAATTGGGGTCCCCAGCATTATCTGCCTGCCACTTCTGGCACCTGTGAGGAGGGACAGTCCACGGGGCAAGTAGAGATTTATACGAAAGGGCCATGAAATGGATAATGATGAAAACCTCTTAATTCAAGAGCTTTATCCCTTTGACATGTCTAAAAAATGTGTCTGTTACCCAAAATTGTTTTCCAGATGCAGATCTGGGATGTGCCTTGCTCCCTGGATCACCTTGACAAATGGATACCCCCTGGGTTGATTTCCCTCCCTGCCCTGTTGGCAGAGGAGAGGCATGGAGAAGGCCAAGTCGGGCAGAGGGTCACAGTCCTGCAGGCAAGGAGAAGAGATGCTCTCTTGGCAGCTGCGTGTGCACAAGGCTGACATGAACTTGGTCAGGAATGTTAATAGCTGTCAGGGTGATACAGGGTGCGCTGGTGTAAGAGGCAGCACCTGCTACTCACTGAGCAGACTCCACAAGGAGTTTTACATTGCAATCAGCACTGTGTAAGTTTCTAATGAATACTAGAAAACATTATCACAGTGGTTTTCTTTCCTTTTTCCTTCTTTATTTAAATTAAACAAACATTACATTGATACACTTTTGTGGAACAATTCAGAAGTCTCACTTCCTCCCTTCTATTCTTACTAATTGGAACTTCCTGGAAGGAAGGGAGGGGGGAGATTGACATCTTTTTAGATGGAAATATTCCCTTTGGAGGGCCGGGTTTTTCAAACCTCCATTTATTTCTCTAGGATCACCTTGTGGCTAAGGTCAACTTGGACGAGAGAGCAGGAGTTGAGCTGTCCCTCATTTCCAACTGACTGCAACAGTAGTTTTCCAGCGGGGCTCTGAGGAACCTCTCTGGTGCCCGGAGGAGATGGTAGGCAGGGCTTGATCCTAGCTCCCCTTAACCAGGTCAGCATTGCATCATCAATCTGTTTCACGTAATGAGCTTCTAGGTGCGATTCCATTGAAAAAGAGCTTTCCCTCTTTAAAATAAGAAATTTGAAAACCATGGCAATTTTCACCCATTTGCACATATTTGTTGAGCATCTTCTATATATCAAGGATATTCTAAGCACTGGAGACATATCAGAACAATACCTAGCTCCCAGGTCCTCCCTCACATATGGTAGCACATCTTTTACCTATATGTTCTTATACTGGCTTCCCATGTAGACAAGAAGCTCTGTGAGGGCAAGAACTGGCGTCTTGTGTCTTTCATCTCCTCAGAGAACAGTGCTTGCATAGATCTCACTGAACATGGCAGTAGACATTCTGGCCCTGGTTGGGAGTGTGCAGAGGGACTAGAGGAAACTTGCCCTGGGTCATTCATAGAGGAGAGTGGGCATGTAGATAATGAATGGTTGACAGTCCTGTACTTGGAACAGACTGCTAAACAGCTCTGGGATGGAAGAATCCAGTTAAAGCCAGGGACCTGGGGTGAGGAGTGAGCAACCCCACACATACACACACGCACACACTCCATGCATGGAAGCTTGGCAAAAGCACTTGCTTTCTACTTGAGTTTCTCGTTTTATGAACTAGGATAACCCATCAATTTGAAATCCTTACAGGGAAAAAAAGGCACCATGGGCACTAATGGTATTGACATGGAAAAAAAGACTGCCTCCTGCTATATAGAGTAGCCAAAACCTAGCGCTAAAAGAAAAGTTTACACATCGGCCCAAGTCTCACAAGTGAGGAAACTGAGCACTAGAGAAGGCAGGTGACTTGCCACAGGTCACAATGGGAGTTTGTGACACAGGATTAGAAGCTAGGGCGCATTTCTCTGTTTGGAATGTTTTCCATGCGATCAGAAAGCATCCAAAGGTCACAGAACATCTCGCCAGATAAGAAATTATTTCAGACTTCCCACCTACAAGATTTCTATCAGTTCAACAAATATTTATTGAACATATACTGTGTGCTAATGGAGCTGGCATTTGTGAGGCAATAATGGAAGGATATGACACAGTCCTTGTGTAGCTATCTGAGAAAACAAGAGGCAAAGATTTGAAACAGTTAAATAAAAATAACAGGCAATGTATGAGAAGTGCCAAAATTGGAGGAACAGTGTGTCCAAGGGAACACTCAAAGGGGACAGACTTCTTCCCAGCTCATAGAGAAGGTCCCTTTAAGCTAGGTTGGAGAGAGTTTAGAGAAGTGAAAGACAACCCCACTGCTCAACTCAGAGGGGCTCCCGTCACATTGGGGGGCTAGGGAAAGGAAGATAAGTCCAAGTAAGCTGGGCTAGTCAATGCCCAGGAATTTGTACTTTTAAAGGCTACCCATGTGACTGTGATGTTCAGTGGAGGAATGCACCCCAATTCCTTTCTCCCTACCTCACCCTCACTTTCCCTGAAGTGGAAGTATCAATAATTTTTCTCTACATTTTACTGAAGGGAAAACTGAGAGTCCACAGATTTTCAATGATGTGTTCAAGGTCACTCAGTAAGTAGTGGGGACCCTGGCCTCCTGCCAACCAGTAGAAACAGAAATATCACAAGATACTATCCAAAGGAAGATTTTGCTTTATTCTCTGCAAGACAAGTCAGACCCGCTTGGTTAGCCAGGGAGGCTGTTGCCCGGAGTACAAAAAGGAGCAAGTCTCAAGCTGCCAGGTGTGTGGGACAGAGCCCAGGGTGAGGTTAGTGGCTGGGAGCTTAGAGTTCTAACTCTGCTGTGTGACTCAACCCAAGCCACTTCCCCTCTCTCTTTATGTCTGTTCTTCACCTATTAATAATGATGCCCAACGTCATTGTTGGGATTAGCTACCAGTGATGGAAAATGCACAGT